AGCTTCACACATTCTAGGCAAACACTCTACCACTGAACTATATAACCTAGATCCACACTTCTATATACCATTTCAACATAATGATGCTAGAAAAACTGGATATCTATGTGGGGAAACATGAACCGTGAAACATATATCACATTTTATACAAAAATTAATTAAATTTGGATTATATATATAAGTTTAAAAACCAAAATTCTAGGTTTTAGTTGATAATATTGGAGAATCTTGTTGCCACATTGGCATAAGCAAAGACTTCTTAAAGATTCATTAAAAGAAAAAAAATTAATGTTAAGTTGGGCTTTATGAAAATTTGAAATTACTGCTTACCAAAAGAGATATCAAACTGGGCCCAGTAGTACATGCTGTAATCCCTGCTACTCAGTAGACTGAAGCGGGAGGATCATAAGTTTAAGGCCAGCCTCAGCATCTTAGTGAGACCTGAAAATAAAATAAAAAGGCCTGTGGATATAGCTCAGCTAGGAAGGCCTTGGGTCCCCTCAGTCCCCAATACGGGGAGGTGGGGGGGCGGGGGGAAAGACCATTTGGAGAAGGAAAAAAGAGTGGGGAGTGAATGTTAAGTGGAGTACAGTTTCAGTTGGACAGATGAAAAGTTTAGAATACTTGATAGTGATGGTTGCACAACAATGTGAAAGGATTTAATGCCATTGAACTCTAGATTTACAATTTGTTACAAAGGGCTGGAGTCAACAGTGCATGCCTTTAATTCCAAGGACTCAGGCCACCAAGGAGGAGGATTAGTAGGAGATCAGCCTGAGTAACTTAGCCAGACCCTGTCTCAAAATAAAAAATAAATGAGCTCGGGGTAGGCTGGGGCCATAGCCCAGTGGCAGAGCGCTTGCCTGGCATGTGAGGGGCACTGGGGTTGATCCTTAGCACTACATAAAAATAAAAAGATAAACACATGCTGTCCATCCATCTACAACTATAAAAAAATTCTTTTTAATTAAAAAAGGAGCCAGGAGTGTAGCTCAGTAGTACTGCAGGGGGTAGGGAAAAAAAGATAATGAAGAGGCAAACCATAGATGGAGAAGAAGCATTTCTAACCATAATATATTAAAGAACTCCTACAACTCAGTTAAAAAAAAAAAAAAGACAAAAAATAGATCTTAAATTTTTTCAAACAAAAAAGTGTTGTCAGGTGACTGCTATGTTAATTAGCTTGAATTAATCCTGGCACAGTGTGTACTTATATCAGAACATCACATTGTACACTGTAGTTACATATAATTTTAGTCATTTTTATCTTAAAGCTATGGTGGAGGCAAAAAAAAATTTTATATAAATAGGGCTTTCCTCTGGGCCATATTCAAGTTTACTGGCTATTTTTTTCATAAGCTTTCCAGCATTCTGTTAATTTAGCATTTCAGTATTTGCAAGAATTCAGGTTCATTTATTGACATGTTAAAAATTATTCTCAGTATAGATATCTTAAAGTCTTTACCATTTATTTTTCTTTGAGGATATGACATGACAGATTATCCCTGCATTATAATTTTAATCTTCAAGCCCTCAGCCTTATGGGTCCCCTTTTTTTGTTCATTTCTTAACATTAATTCTTCTAAAAGTATAGATTTAGATTTATGAACTAAAGCCAAATTTCCCTCTTCTTAATTAATTAATTATTTATTTATTTAAATTCTTCAAGTGCTCCTCTTTTTTTCTTCTGCTGGGGATCAAACCCAGGGCTTTGTGACAAGCACTGTACCACTGAGCTAGCCCCTAAGATTCTCTTGCTCTTGGGCTGGGGATGTGGCTCAAGCGGTAGCGCGCTCGTCTGGCATGCGTGTGGCCCGGGTTCGATCCTTAGCACCACATACCAACAAAGATGTTGTG